GCTCAGAAAGACGCATCGGATCTTGCTGACGATACTGGCAGCTACTTTGAAGACCACACCGCCGAGCAAGAGGGCGACTCGAGTGCGAATTTGATGAGCCAATCTGGCGAGCTTCCACCACGAGTAGATGCATCTAACAGTCAGCGAAGATCAAATAGCGTGCCGCCTACCCCTACCGTCGGGTCTACAGGCTCACGTCCGACCACACCCGGCGGCGCCGGTGTTGGTAGCCCTCTGACCGCACCGCAGGCTTTCAAGCCCGTCATCGTGCGTGCCAAGGCCGCGGACGGTGGTCCAGCAAAGATGACTGTGATCAATCAAGGACTTCTCCGTGGGCGACAAGGTCGTTCGGGCTCTGCAGCACAGTTGAATAGTGGCGATGTCACACCTGCCAGCCGCTCTGCCACCCCTGCAAGCAGCAGCCGCGGTACTCGCTTCAAAAGCACTCCCGTGGGCGGCCCAGCTGCTCAGTCCTCAAACGCCGGATTGGTGTCTCGGGCGCCAGGCGCCGCCACGGCGCCCAAGTCAGCCCAGACTCCTAGCGAATCTACAGACAGCCCGGCACCCGTTCCACCCATTAGTGATACCCCAAAATCGTCCACGCAGCCTCCATCGTCCTCATTCGACAGCCCGCTTGGAGGTGATTCGTCTTCAGAAGCATCTTGATTGAGAGTTTTCATTGATCACCACACACTCGACTTGTGCTCTGCTCCCTTTCAGCGCTCATTCCGAGCGTGCTTGGGCCCTCACAGCAGCATGTCAGGGAGCGCTGAACGCCGTGTTTGGTTCGGCCGGCTTGAATTTGAATTTCATGTCATCATACAACCCATCGAATTACCATTGTCTCAGTAGGCTGAGGCGCGAGCGGCGCATTGACCAATCTACGGCAATCAAGGGTCCACTTGGGATCGCACGTGAACTCACCATGAAAATTGATATACGGAGCGCGCAGCATCTTTGGCTTGGCGCTCGTGGCGACAAGCTTAATACAGCCAGGCGCCGCATACGACCAAGACAGCGATCAAGGGTCAGCCGTTTCTCTGTTTTTGGTACCGTTGGGCGAGAAAAGTACGGGTGTCTGCCCTCGCGCAATGTAACCCATTACCCGTGCGACTTTCTTGTTGGATTCAAGCTGGGTGCGCTGTATGCATCCCTTGGATAGCAAGCACATCAAAGTGACCCGTTCTGAGCAGCATGTCGCAGATTGTGCGGTGCCTCATGCCATTCATGATTGCGTTTGCGTCTAATGCGCTTGAAGAAAGTCAGTGCCGAGACATTGAGTGGATTGCATCATCGCCTTGCCGTCCAGTTCTTGTTTCAGCGCAGGCATTTGCGCAATGGAGACTTGCACAGTCAGTAGACATGGCGTTGGATCTGGCCATCTGGCGCCAAGCGGCGACTGGATTGAAGGCGGACGGAAGCTGCTCGACGCAACGGAGAAGGATTTTTATGGGGAAGAGAAATGGCTGCTGCGGTAGGTGACTCCAATTGAACGCTCACAAGGTCAAAAGGCTGAGCGCCAGACAACAAGAGGAGATGCTCCGGGTCGCCGCACAAAGCTCGATCAATGACTTAGAGCCGGGGTCGGTGGTGACGACCCTGCATTGCTCGCGATGCGAATCGATGGCGATTGTGGGCGAAGGGTGGGAATCAACGAACGCGTCGCGAGTTGAACATGAGTATGTAGAGCGTGCAAGTTGGCT